CTCATTTTTGGCTCAGGCTTCGTGGCAGCCGAGGCTGGGGGAGATGGAGGACGAGGACGAGGACGACGATGCGGTGCCACATCTTTTGGGATGTTAGGCATCCGGCGAGCGTCTCGAGAAGGCGCTGCTTCCTTCGACGTGGCAGTCAAGAAGTGTGGTCAGACAAAACAATGGGGCGCAGCACTGCAGATGCTTCGCCAAGGGATTCAGTTAGGTGTGAAACCCTTCCCAGGGACTTACATTGCGACTATTAGTGCATGCAGAAAATGCGGACAATGGCAACGGGCGCTGTCGCTGCTCAGTGAGATGTGTGAGTCGGAAATAGAGCCCAACGTCATCAGCTACAGCGCTGGGATCAGCGTCTGCGAGAAGGGCGGGCAGTGGCAGCAGGCTTTGTCGCTGCTCAGTGAGATGCAAGAAGCGAGGATGGAGCCCGACGTCATAATTTACAGCGCTGGGATCAGCGCGTGCGAGAAAGGCGAGCAGTGGCAGCGGGCTCTGGCGCTGCTCAACGTGATGTGGGAGATGAAGGTGGAGCCCAACGTCTTCAGCTACAACTCCGGGATCAGCGCATGCGGGAAATGCGAGCAGTGGCAGCGGGCTCTAGCGCTGCTCAGCGAGATGTGGGAGGCGAAATTGATGCCCAACGTCATTAGTTACGGCGCTGGGATCAGCGCTTGCGAGAAGGGCGATCAGTGGCAGCGGGCGTTGGCGTTGCTGAGCGAGATGTGGGAGGCAAAACTGCAGCCGAACGTTATCTGTACTACCATTCCAGGCGAAGCGCTTGCGAAAAGGTCAAGCAGTGGCAGCGCCCCGGGCCGCCCAGAGAGCTCGCGGGCCGCCCGGAGAGCCTCTGGGCCGCTGCCCGACGGGCCCGGGAGGCCCCCGGACCGCTCGCGGACTGATCCAGGATTCCCAGATCGCCCCAAGACGGCCTCACAGACACCCACAAGGGCCGAAGCCGACCCGACCGAAGCCCCCTGACGGCCCCAAAAGGCTTCAGAGACGGCCCCCGAGGACCGCCTGGACGGCGCCAAGGGGCAAAACTTTTCAATTTTCCGAAGGTTTCGAGGGTTTTCCTGATCCCGCCACTTCGGGACCACAACGGCCCAGGATGGCCCCAGGGGGCTTCGCACATCGCCCCTGCGCGGTCCAAGAGGGCCCCAGGAGGGCTCCCAGACGGCCCGAGAAGGCCCGTAGACGGCCCAAGAGGGCCCTAAGACGGCCCAAGAGAGCTTCAAGTGACTCCCAAGTCAGCCCCAACCAGGCCCCAGGCCCCGCCCGACCTGGCCCAAAGCGACCTCCGAAACGGCCCGAGACCCCAAGTTGGCCCCAAGACGCCCCCAGAAGGGCCCAAGATGCCGCCCAAGAGGGCCCAAAGCGACCTCCGAGACGGCCCGAGACCCCCAAGATGGCCCCAAGACCTCCCTGCGCGGCCCCGCAAACGTGCCCCCCTCACTCTGAGTGTGCCTGAAAACCCTGGTGTTTTTGCTAATCGCGCCTAGGCCCGGCGCGATTAGCAAAAACCCATCTTATCACGCTTCCAGGTCAGTGCCCCCGGAGCTCCCCGACTGCTTTCCGGGGTGGCCCCCAGACGTGGCCTGTAAACGTCGGCCCCACGTGGCCCCCAAACGGGACCCCCAAAGGCGGCCCCCACACAAAGCCTCCGAAGGTCGCCCCTACCGCCCCAGTAAACGTGGCCCCCGAACGTCACCCCCACGCGTAGCCCCCAGGCGCCCCCAAACGTGGCCCCCACACAGCCCCCAACCATTGCCCTCAAACGTGACCGTCACATGTGCCTCCGAAGGTCGCCTCTACCGCCCAAGGGACGCCAGAGCTGTTCAACGTCGACGAGCTGGTTACCTACGGTGTGCGAGTCCCAGGCTCAGCACGCCGTGGACTCAATCCACGGGTTCACACTAGTTTGCTACAGTGCTGGGATCAGTGCTTGCGAGAAGGGCGAGCAGTGGCAGCAGGCTTTGGCGCTGCTGAGCGAGATGCGGGATGTGAAACTGCAGCCCAACGTCATCAGCTACAACTCTGGGATCAGCGCGTGTGGGAAAAGCGAGCAGTGGCAGCGGGCTCTAGCGCTGCTCCGCGAGATGTGCGAGGCGACACTGATGCCCAACGTCATCAGTTGCAGCGCTGGGATCAGCGCTTGCGAGAAAGGCGATCAGTGGCATCGGGCTTTGGCGCTGCTGAGCGAGATGCAGGAGGCGAAACTGAAGCCCGACGTCATGTGTTACAACGCTGGGAGTACCGCTTGCCAGAAGTGTGAGCAGTGGCAGCGGGCGTTGGCGTTGCTGAGCGAGATGTGGGAGGCGAAGCTGCAGCCCAACGTGTTAAGCTACAATGTTGGTACCAGTGCGTGCACGAAGGGCAAGCAGTGGCAGCGTGCCTTGGCGCTGCTCAGGGAGATGTGGGAGGCGACTTTGGAGCCCACCGTCGTCAGCTACAGCGCCGGGGTCAGCGCGTGCGGGGAGGGTGAGCAGTGGCAGCGGGCTTTGGTGTTGCTGAGCGAGATGCGGGAGGCGACGGTAGAGCCTGACGTCATCAGCTACAACGCTGGGATCAGCGCGTGCGACATTGACGAGCAGTGGCAGCGGGCTTTGGCACTGCTGAGCGACATGTGGGAGTCGAAGCTTGAGCCCAACGTCGTCAGCTACAGCGCTGGGATCAACGCTTGTGGGAATTGTGAGCAGTGGCGGTATGCTTTGGCGCTTCTGAATAAGATGTGGGAGACGATCTTGGAGCCCAACGTCGTCAGCTGCAACGCTGGGATCAGAGCGTATGGGAACGGCAAGCAGTGGCAGCGGGCTCTGTCGCTGCTTAGCGACATGTGGGAGGTCAGTTCAGAGCTCAACGTCACCAGCTACATTGCTGGTATCAGCGCATGCGAGATGGCTGAACAGTGGCAGTGGGCTCTGGCGCTGCTGAGCGAGATGTGTAAGGCGAAACTGGAGGCCGACATCTTCAGCTTCACCGCTGTGGTCGGCGCATGTAGGAATGGCGAGCAGTGGCAGCAGGCATTGACGCTGCTGAGCGGGATGTGGGAGATGAAGTTGGAGCTCGACGTCGTCAGCTATAACGCTGGGATCAGCGCGTGCGAGAAAGGCAAGCAGTGGCAGTGGGCATTGGCACTGCTGAGCGAGATGTGGGAGGCGAAGCTGCAGCCCAACGTCGTCAGCTACAGCGCTGGGATCAGCGCGTGCGAGAAAGGCTGGGAGTGGCAGCGAGCGCTGGCGCTGCTGAGCGAGATGTGGGAGGCGAAGGTGGAGCCCAGCGTCTTCTATACTACAGTGCCGGAATCAGCGCGTGCGCGAAGAGGGGCCGGTGGCATCGGCCTGCCTCGGCCCGGCTCGGCCCGGCTCGACCCGCTGCGGGCAGGCGCTCGGGGCCCTCAGAGGCCCCCCAAGAGGGCCCGAAGACGGCCGAAGCCCATCCAAGAGGGCCTTCGAGACGGGCCCCGAGCGCTCGAAGACGCCCAAGACAGCCGCCCGACGGCCCAAGAGGCCACCAGAATGATCCGAGTGGGCTCCAGAGAGATCCCCAGGAGAGCCCGAACAAGGAAAGATCGTCCCAATCCCAAGGGACAACTTACATTTCAGGAGTGCCCGTGCTTTTCGTCTTCGAAGCGTCCAAGACGGCCAGACAGGCCCTCAAGATCGTCCCAAGACGCCTCAGGAGGCTGCCAGGAGGGCCTCAAGAGGGCTCAAGACTGCGCCAGGACGGCTCCTCAGGCGCCCATGGCGACCCCAAGAGGGGGCCAGGACAGGGAGGGAGCGCTCCCGAGGGGCCCCAAGAGGGAGCCAGGAGGGCCCCAAGAGGGCCCCGACAAGGCCCCATGACGCATGTACGTGGGTGCCCCTCTCGCAAGCCCAAGAAGCATATCAAGTTTATGCGGTTTGGTGGGGCCCTCTTGGGGCACCCTGGGGGCGCTCTTACGGCCCTCTTGGGGCCTTCGGGCCCCTCCAAGACAGGGCCAGGTGCATTCTGCCACAGAAAGGCCTCTCGTGGCAGAATGGTGGACCCGCGCCCGGCGGCGTCCAGGGGCCCTCTTGGAGCCTTCTTGGTGCCCTCTGGGGGCCCTCTTCGTGCCCTCTGACACGACGGCCCCAAGACGGTCCCGACACTGCCCCAGGGACGCCCGAGCTGTTCAACTTCGATGAGTATTCACCCACGGTGTGCGAGTCCCAGGTTCAGCACGCCGTGGATTCAATCCACGGGTTCACACACTAGTCAGCTACAATTCTGGGATCAGCGCGTGCGGGAAATGCGAACAGTGGCAGAGGGCTCTGGCATTGCTGAGCGAGGTGTGGGAGGCGAAACTGAAGCCCGACACCATCAGCTACAACGCTGGCATCAACGCGTGCGAGCTGGGCAATCAGTTGAATCGAGTTTTGGCGCTGCTGAGCGGGATGCGGGAGGCGAATTTGAAGCCCAGCGTCATCAGCTACTGCTCTGGGATCAGCGCGTGTGGGAACGGTAAGCAGTGGCAGAAGGCACTGGCTCTGCTCAGAGAGATGTTTGAGGCGAAGCTGGTGCCCAACGTCGTCAGTTACACCGCTTGTGTGGGCGCTTGCGAGGAGGGCAAACAGTGGCAGCGGGCTTTGGCGCTGCTCACCGAGATGTGTGAGGTGAAGGTGGAGCCTTGCGTCATCTGCTACAGCTCTGGGACCAGAGCGTGCGAGAATGGCAAGCAGTGGCAGCGGGGCCTGGTGCTGCTTGGCGAGATGGCGAGATATTCGCAGCGGCAGCTACAGCCCTGGTATGAATATATGTATAAGCGTGCGTGGGAAGGGTGAACGCAGTGGCAGTGGTTCTGGTGGTCCTGGTGCTGTCGAGCAATGCGGATGAGACCCATTTGAATCCTAAAGTCGTCATCTTTGACACTGGGATCACCGTGTGTACGAGATTGGCGAGCCGTGGCTGTGCGCTTTGGCACTGTTGAGCGAGTTGTGGGAGGCGAAGTTGGCGGCCGACGTCATCAGCGACAGCGTTGGGACCAGCGCGGTCCAGAAGAGCGAGCAGTGGCAGCGGGCCTTGGCTTTGCAGAGCCTCCTGATCAAGGCGCGAAGGGCGAAGCTGGAGTCCAACGTCATCAGCTGCAGCGCTGGGATCAGCGCGTGCGGGAAAGGGAATGATGACAACAGGCTGGGTTGTTGCCAGGCAGTGGGAGGAAAAAAATGAGCCCGACACCATCATATGTACAGTGGAGAACTATGTCAAGAAGCATCCTGCTTAGCTCCAGGGTGCCCTGAGCTTCTCGGGTTCCGATTGTTTTGCGATGGAAAGCGTGACGGCCCCACACCAAAAGTCAGTGGGCGCCCTCGGGCCTCAGGGTTGGGCTTCTCGTGGACGGTTTCTTGTGGAAGGGCCCCTACTGACTCGTGGGCCAGAGCATGAGCATGCGATGCGGGCACGCAGTGGCAGTCGGGCCTGTGGCTGCTCGGCGAGCGGAGGGCGAAGTTGGCCATGCCCTGGACATCGCAGGCTGGCCTGTGTGTTTTTTGTTTGACATGTGGACGGAGTCGGACGAGGAGAGGATAGGAGTAGACGAGTGAGCAACAAGTGCTCTATTCAGAGCGAGGACCAAACGACAAGGAGCCAGTGTACGACTCGTGAGCCCCTGGAAGGCACTTCGATCTGACCCCCCCTGACCCGAGCCCCGAACACCCACCGCCGACGCCCCGAAACTGCAAGGCGCAACGCCCATCCTTACACAATGTCGAACTCCAACCCGAAGGCCGTTCACCAAGTCGTGAAATCTAGAGGCTCCGAAGCTGGCATCTGAGGGTGTGAGGAACGCAGCCCTGGAGCAGATGCGTCCCAGCACGCACGTACAGTGCTCTCGGAGCGAGCCCGCGAGGGCAGGGCTGCGTGGCCTTTCGAGAGGAAGCAGCGCCCCCTCCTCCGCCGAAAAAAACAGCACCAGCTCCAGGACGGCCCCGCGGCAGGCGCCCCCGCAGGCGCCGGCGCCGAGATCGTGGAGAGGGAGGCCTGAGGAGGAACGAAATCAGGAGAGGAAAAAACACACAGACACAATCAATCCTCGATTCCTCAGAAAACATGGGAAAATATGGGAAGTGGGGGAAAAACAGTGAAATATTGGAAAATCTGTGGAATCTTTTTATTTGTGTGTATTTATTTGTGTGTCCCAGGGCCCCTTTACGAAAGTTGGGGGGGCACAGTCGGCCCGCACCGTGAGGATCGGCAACTTGCCAAGGCTACCCCTCGCATCCTTCCCCTGCGGCTCATCCGTGGCCGCGTCTGCTGGCCCCGCCCGCCCTCGAAGTGTGTCGGCATGGCCTCCCGAGGCCCTTGCAGCCTTACCGCGCATCCGTGTCACACGGGTTGACGGTATGTAGGCTCGGGGGGGTGGCATCGACCCCCACTCTCGAAGAGGGAAAAACGCAGACGCATCAGGCATAATGTTCTGGCGTTCCGCGCGGATCTCCTGGATCGGCGCCTGGGCCCCCCCTGGCGGCGCCGCCCCTGGCGCGCTCCGCGCGCCAGGCAGGGGGGGGGGTCCAGCGCGGATCCGAGCAACCCGCGCGGAGCGCCAAAAGTGTATGCTTATGCATCTCTTTCTTCCTTCAACGACTGCAGGCTCAGTCGGGCGTGTCCCTCTACAGGAGGAGTGTGCAAGAATAGTCAAAAAAATACTCCGGGGACGATTTTTCTATCATTTTTCGACTGTCTCGGAGTATTTTTCGACTGTCAGGGGGGCGGCCTCGACCCCCCCTTCGCCCCTGGAGCGCGCCGACGGGGGGCCCCCGACCGTGTGCGGCCTGGCGCCCTCGGGGGCCGGGCCTGGCCGCCGCTCCCTCGGCGAGAGGCACCGCCGATGCTCCTCCTCCTCCTCCTCCTCCTCCTCCTCCTCCTCCTCCTCCTCCTCCTCCTCCTCCTCCTCCTCCTCCTCCTCCTCCCTCCTCCTCCTCCTCCCCCCCCCCCCCCCGGGCCAGTCCCCCCCCCCTCACGCTGGAGGCAGCTGCTCCTTCGGGTTCGGGCAAGTCTGCTTGCAGGGATGGCAGGGGGCAAGGGGCGTGTCCCCCCCCCCCCCCACCCTGGAGGCAGTTGCTCCTTCGGGTTCGGGCAAGTCTGCTTGCAGGGACGGCAGGGGAAAAGCGGCGTGTCCTGGATGCGCGCCGGGGCCTCCCCCGGCGGCGCCTCCAGCGCCGGCCCGGGCGCGCTCCGCGCGCCAGGGAGGGGGATCCAGCGCGGATCCAAGAAAACCCGCGCGGAGCGCCAAAAGCTCAGGTTTATGCCCTTTTTTCTTCTAGGGAGGGGGGCGTGGCGAGGCCCGAAAGGAAATCTGCACTCCACGCAAGTCGTGACCCACTTGCACGCGTTTCGGCCCAGTACTGTCTGGGAATGCGGGGGAGATGGGGGTGGAGGGGAATGCCAAGCAAGTAAGCCTGCCTGTGTCTATCTGGCGATCGCAAACATGGATCAAGGGGGGGTGGATTAGCGACGGGTCCCGTTTCCAATCCCCGCCGCCGAGCGAGGCGGCACCGGCCGCATTTTTGGGAAGGGTATCTTCCCCATCCATGGATGTGGCGACCGCGCGCCAAGTCCATGGATCGCTACTATCCACGTGTGCGCGCCCCCGAGTCTCAGGAGGGGACTAAACACACACGGACACAATTCATCTTCGATGCCTGGGAAAATGTGGGAACATATATGGGAAGTGGGGGGGGGGAGACAAAAGCCCAGAAACTATAGGAAAAAATATGGGGGATCTTTTTTTTATTTGTGGGTATCTATCTGTGTGTGTCCCAGGGCCCCTTTAGAGTCTAAAGTAAAGCATCCTCCGGGCGTTGCCCCTCAAGAGGCCGCAGCGCTGCTCGACGACGTGGGCCGGGAGGCCCTCGGCGCCGAGGGCGGCGCGGAGCGCCTCGCGGCGCTGCTCAACGAGCACTTCGGCCGCCTGGGCGAGGCTCAGGAGGAAAAGAAACACACAGACACAATGAATCCGCGATTCCCCAGAAAATATGGGAAAATATTGGAAGTGGGGGGGGAAGACAGAAACCCAGAAAATGTAAGAACATATGGGGATTTGTTTTATTTGTGCGCATTTATTTGTGTGTCCTGGGGACCCTTCAGAGGCCGCCGACTGGGGCGCGGCGGCCGCGGCTGCGCTGGCGGCGCCGCCGGTGTCGGACGCCTGGAGGCCCCGAGAAGCCGCCTCTGGCCTCCCTGTCTCCCACCGAAAACATGGCCAGGTTCGGCCAGATGGCATGGACCGTCCACTTCTAAGCTCCCTCTCCCTTTACCAACACCAACGGCGATCCCATCAGATATGCTCGCGTCGTTCCAAACGACAGACGTTTATTTTATCTATATATATATATATATATATAGATTGGCCCCCCCTGGGCCCTCGCCAGGCCCCGGAATCGTTAGAGAACGACTCGGGATGAAAAACTTGACCTCAGGGGAAGGAGGAGGTCCTGAGGTCTGGGCGTTGCAACTTCTTTACACTGGGCGTTCTCGCCTGGTCTCGGGTCCTGAAGCCATCGTAGATCGATCCAGCTCGGAAAATGCAGCGGAAAGTGAGGGTCCAGGGCCCCGGCCGTGGTGTCTTGCTATGTTGTATTTTTCCGCAGCATCGGATCTCGAGGCCGAGCTATTCTGGGAGTCCCCTCAGCCGCACAGGTCGCACCAAAATGGTATTTCAGATAGTTGAAGTATTGTCGGACCTTTCGGCGTCATTTGCCCTTCCATACATACATGTTTACACACAAATACGCGTACACACATACACACACGTATTACACATACAGACACCTATGCACGTGCACATGCAGATGCACAGATAAGGGTATACGCAAGCATGTACACAGTACCACATGCACGCATGATGCACAAAGAACACAAGCACACATGCATCAGCTCTTACGGACAGCCACACAAGCAGACAGGTAGGTTAGCGCATGCATTGCTATTCGCTGCGAGGTATACCGCGAGGCCCTAAAACATGAATCCATGTTTTGCACGGCCTTGCTCGTGGCCGCGATCCACGCGCGGGCTCCGGGCCGTTCCGGGAGTCGGCCGGCCAGTGCGAGGACCCCTCCTGGCACCGCGCTATATAGTACTTGCCGCAGACACCTTGGGGGCGTCAGTTCAGGAGTGTGCCCAAGAGGCGCCTCAGACCCTGGAGGAGGATTCCTTCTCCCATGGGGGCGGTGGCTTTCCCTGGTCAAGCCCCAGCTGGTGTTCCACCGGCTTCCAGACCCTGGAGTGCTTATCTGAGGAGGGGAGGGGAGGGGGAGGGGAGAGGAGGAGGAGAGAGAGGAGGAGGAGGAGGAGGAGGAGGAGGAGGAGGAGGAGAGGAGGAGGAGAGGAGGAGGAGGAGGAGGAGGAGGAGGAGGAGGAGGAGGAGAGGGAGGAGGAGGAGGAGAGGAGGAGGAGGAGGAGGAGGAGGGGAGGAGGGAGGGGAGGAGGAGGGGGAGGAGGAGGAGGAGGAGGAGGAAGCGGAGGAAGCGGAGGAATCACCGTGTTTCCCAAACGGCGCCTGCCCGCGCCGCAAACCGCCGCCACAGCTCGGCGAGGGAGGCGCGCTTGCCCGTGAACGCACCGTGCCCTCCCCCGCGGCGGCCAAGCGCTGCGCGTCGACGTGCTCGTGCCGGGCGCGGCGTGCGGTGCGATCCGCACTCCATGCGATGCAGCCGCCGCGTCGGCACGCTGCTCTCAGCTCCACTCGTGAGATCCTCCTGCTCTTCCTCCTCCTCCTTCCTTTTTTCCTCTCCTCCTCCTCCTCCTCCTCCTCCTCCTCCTCCTCCTCCTCCTCCTCCTCCTCCTCCTCCTCCTCCTCCCCGTTCTCCAGCCCCCAGGGGGCAGCCAGAGCCTGGGCTCACGAAGAGGGGTCGGCGCTGGCGCGCCGCATGCTTGGTCCATTGGTGCTGTCGCGCTTTTCCCATGCGCTGGTGCAGCGTGGTACTTTAGGAGCTTTCCCGTCAGCCCCGAAAGGCCTAGTTTGGGTGGTCGCCAGCCAAGCGGCCGGGTGTGTGAGTAGTTGCAAGTCGTGCGCCTTCGGCAGGCTTGATCGGGTCGGTTAGACGACCCCCAATCATGGCTGCAGAAGGGTGGGCAGCCGCGACTTTCGGCTGAACGCGCCACAAGGAATTACTTGGTCAATCCTCCACAAAAGGAATTCACGTGTAAATGCGCCACGAAGGGAATTCATTTGTTGAGCGGTGATTGATTAGAACGGCGTTGAGCGGCCTGGACCTGCCAGAGGTTCCCAGGTTTCATCTTATTTCCTACTCTTCCAAAAAGGAGTTTTTTGTAAAACTAAGTTGTCGGATTTTCCCAAATCGGAAAACCAGGTTTCGCTTAAGACTCCTTCAATGAAACTATCAGTCGGTTTAGCTGGTTTGAAATTCCGAGGGGTCCCGAGCGAAACTGTGTTTCTCTTTGTAAAACCGGCCAACAAATAAGGAAAACATTGGTTTCGCTTGAGAATAGTTTGAATGTTCACCTCAGCCAATACCCATGGATTTTGAAATTTCTGAGGGAGTCCGAAGCGAAATTTGGTCACTTATATTACTGCAAACGAAGACGATAATCAAACACACTTGGGAACCTCTGGCAGGTTCAGGCCGCTCAATACGAGTCTGTTCAATGACCGATCGGCAATTTACATGTCCTTTGTGGTTGGTTTACTAGTTGGTTCTTTTTGTAGCGGAATTTCACATGGATGTCTTTTGTGTCGGATTTGCAAATTGATTCTTTTTGTGGCGCGTTTTAGAATTGATTCCGTGTGCGGTGTATGTAAACATTTATTCGTCTTGCGGCAGTTTTGCAAGTTGATTCATTTTTTGGCGGGTTTGCACATTGAATTCTTCTGTGGCGCGTTTGCAGTTCGATTATTTGTGCGATGCATTCACAAGTGGTATCTCTCCATATCGCAGATTATTAGAGTTTCATTCTTGCTGTGGCGGGTTTGCAATTGAATTCGTTGTGTGCCGGATTTACAACTTGACTCTTAATTCTGGCGGGCTTGCAACTGAAATCCTTTTTACAGCGAATCCACAATGTTTAAATCCCTTGATGGCGAATGCGTTGTACGGCGAAACGCCTGCGACGGCGTCGACGGCCAGAACAGGCCCTACCCACACCTTGATTTTCTTCCCGCCAAGGGGACTCCCTAAAGCCTCCCTCCCTCCCTCCCTCCCCCCCTCTCCTACTCTTCTCCTCCTCCTCCCTCCCTCCCCTCCTCCCTCCTCCCGCCCTCCCTCCCCCTCCCCCCCTCCTCCCTCCTCCTCCGCCTCCTCCTCCTCTCCTCCTCCTCCTCCTCCTCCTCCCTCCTCTTCCCTCCTCCTCCTCCCCTCCTCCTCCCCTCCTCCTCCTCCTCCTCCTCCTCCCTCCTCTCCCTCCTCCTCCTCCTCCTCCTCCTCCCCTCCCTCCTCCTCCTCCTCCCCTCTCCTCCCCCTCCTCCTCCTCCTCCTCCTCCTCCTCCTCCTCCCCTCCTCCTCCTCCTCCTCCTCCTCCTCCTCCCCGTTCTCCGGCCCCCAGGGGTCCGCGCTGGCGCGGGTCAGCCAGTCCCCGCTGGCTGGCCCAGCCGGGTCTGGGAGCCACGTTGGGTCGCGTTGCATCTTCGGGGGACCTCGCCTGTCCCAAAAATTGGTGTCGTTGTGCCCGACGTTGGTCCGATGCGGAACCGACGCGGATTTGGCGTGGAGTGGGCATGGACTCGACACGGAGCCGACGAGACTGGTCGACACGGGTCCGACGAGGCGGGCATGAATCCGACACGGATTCGACGCGGATCCCCCGAGGATGCAACAGAGCGTTGGGTCGGTTCCCATTTTCCGCCCTCTGGTGGCCCGGGTCTGGGAGCTATACTAAGGCGGCCGGGGCGGGCTTCGCGACAGGGCCGCAAGCCCCCAGAGACCAGGACACAGATAAACCAGGACACGGAAATCCAAGGAAGCGACACCATGTTTTGCGATGCCACATTTTCCATCACTGGTGCAGCTTTTGTTTGCTGCGCTGGAGGATTCGGGTCTGTGTCCAGAGTTGGGGGGGTCTTGCCGGCTTTTAGGGCCGGTGTCGCCGTCTGGAAAAATTGGTTTTGAGGGATGTTGGGTGTCAGGGTCTAGCGTGTCCGGGTTTCCGGGGCCCTGATGGCCCTGGCCGACCCGGGCTTGTGTTGACCCGGGGTCGTGCGTGCCCGACGGAGGAGGCAAGTGGAGGGAGCCTCGGAGCACGTTGTTGCACACCAGCGTCGGCGGCTCGCTAAGGTGCCCCCCTCCCTCCCCTAGGGGGTCTCTCCCAACGGGTTCTGACAGTCCCTGCCCCCCCCCTCGCGGGTCCTGCTGAGAGCCCCCACCCCCTTCCTCCCGGGGAGAGGGGGCAGGGGCTGTGAGAGATTGACGGGGGGGGCGTTGTGTTGGACATGGTGTCACGATCTGATTGGCCCAAGAGGGGGTCCAGCGAAAAGAGGGTGGTGCAATAGATTTGGTGCACTTGATTTGTAGGTTTGTCACAGCTTT